TATCCAGCAGGAAAATAACAATTAACAACAAAAAGTAAGTTCAAAATTAAACCGAAAAAAGGATAGGTCGACCAGATATCTGGCGCGGTCGACCTTTTCAATCACAACATAGTCATACAATCAAAGCCAAAGTCGACATTCAGGTTGAATAACCAAAAAAACAGGAACGGTCGACCTTGAAACAATTCAGGTCGACCAATTGGGTTGCCTCGCAAGTACAGAAATCCAAGTGTTGTGGCCTAAATTCAAATACGCAGAATTGTCTCGTCAGGTCGACCTGGTTGACGTCACGGTCGACCGAATGGAATTCTGCACCCAACAATATATCAAATTAGCCGGTAGAAATCACGCATTAGAAAAGTAGACGGCGAATGGTACATTAGGTCGACCTCACCTTAGACCTGGTCGACCACTTCCAACGCGTACAACAGCAACCGCGAACGATCTTCTTCACAAAGGCTCTTAATCGGAAAAAAACCTAATTCAGACTTGGAGGCGTTGAAGGGGACTTATATTCTTATTTATAGAGATTTAGGACGTCAATGGGTCGACCCAATTCGTTTCCTTGTCCAATTGTGGAACCTTTCTGGTGTTGGAATCCATATCCAATACGGATACGGTGTGAATGCGGTCGACCTCTTCATAATGCGGTCGACCTGTTAGGTGCACAAGGGTCGGCCTATGAGATATTTGGGTCGACCTTTCATTCTGTTAGACCACCAAAGCGGTCGACCGTATTATGTAAGAGGTCGACCGCGTCTCGGAACCCCACATACATGAATTAGTCCGTTCGGTCGACCGCATGTTGGATTAGGTCGACCGAAAAGTCCATGTCACCGTAGCAAAATCCAAACCTATAACACCAATAATAACGTAAATATATAACTTTAAATTGTATCATAAAAACAAAAACCTATAACACCAATACTATATACCATTGACAATTCCTCGTTAGCGCTTCCGCTTCTGCAAATGTATTGCCGAGAACAAGTAACAACCAATCACCCATCGTGCTGCAAATAGGTGAATCTGTTTTCAAGTGACATCAGATATAAAGGAAAACGACTACGGTAAACAAAGTTTAAATCAAAAGATAAACAAGTATCGATAGACCACTGGGTATGTTGGATCTGTCAAATCTCACATACTTATGTGAATTTTACTAAAATCATGGCACAAACTAATTTGAAATGAAAAAAAAATTCATCCATTGGCCTATAGATTTTATTTATGTTTCTAGGATATCCAAATACTACAATTGGACAAATATCATGCGTTGGATGATAGCAAATGCAACACCATAGTTCATTACTGAAATACCTCATTTATTTATTTTAAAATATTCAATTTACTTTTATTATTGGTGAAATCTTGAATTTATTTTCGAAAAATTCAATTTTCACAACAAGTGCCTGTATGTTGAGCCATGAAGTGCGTTATTTTGTAATAAATTTAAAGGAAATTAAAAGATTCGAGATTTGGCTTTTATAATAGCCATGAACTATCCTCATACCGTCATACGTCATTGCCAGCTTTTAGCAACTACAACTTTTTTGAAGATAGATATTAGGTAACAATGAATTAGTAAGTTATAAATTTATATTTTTCTTAATAATCACCTTTTTAGATGATTGTTGACCATGAAGTTCGAACAATATGCCGAGAATTTATCCTTCCGTCACACCAAATTTCGATAGAAATAAGTTAATAATACCGAATCTTGTGAAGAAATACATTTTAAGAAATTTATATTGACAATAAAAGTGTAAACATTTCTTCTAAAATATGAACAAATATATAGGCAACGGTGAGCTAGATGACCGGATAACTAAAATATCCATGAACTAATTACCATTAATGTCATAATCAACAAGTAGCATAAAGATTATTTTTTTGTTGAAAAACGGGACACTTAAAGGGCGCCTCTGCTTACCTTAATGCATTATTAACTCTAGGAGTCTCTACCCCAATAAGGTCAAAGTACAACTAATCACTCAATGTGTGACTCGAGTGAGTGAAAATGTGCTCTTCAACCGCTAAGCTAAGGAATGACCTATCGTCTCTAAGTATTCAGCTACAAAGTTAGCGTTAGTATAGACGTTCTCTAGACTAAGCGAACTTGTCAAGGACCCGCCAGTAGCCGATGCATCTTTAATTTTCTACCAACATGTGGTATGGGTGAATAGAAGAGAAGGTGTTGATTGGATCAAACGAAGAGTCGACTGAGAGTCTGATTGTAGAAGAACTTTACTAATCCTTAGCTCCCAAGCAATCTTGAGACCATGTGCAACCCCAGCCAGGTCTGCACGTACGTACGAGTGATGGAACGTCCATAATAAAGAGGTTGTCGTCTCCCCTCACAAAGTCGCATGCTAGCATGCCAGTGCCAGGAGAGTGAACAGCTGACCTGTCGGTGTTAACGCTTGCCCATCCCGACGAAGGTGGCTCCCAGCATATTGGTCGTTATTCTATCGTCGTCCTGCAACTCCAAAATGGTGCTCTCTTAACAAAGTATGTTGCCTTAGCTGGTTGATGTGGAATTAGAGTTGTACAATGGTCTCAATCTTGCCTTTGAATTGGTGATTATTCTGGTTCTTCCACGATGACCATCATGTGCTTGCATATAGTGTTATATTAAAAGAGTGAATGCGACCTGTGATGTATCCATCGGGTTAGGCATCCCTGATCAAACACGCACATATAGGCGATCCCTGGGAACAAGGAGAACTGTTATAAACGCGCTGCTACGAATCGGGAAATTGTAGGAATCGATAAAGCAAGAATACGAGAGCGAGAATCGAAAACACAGACACACGATTTACGTGGTTCACTAACACGATGTGTGTTAGCTACGTCCACGGGCGAGAGAGAGTCAGTTTCATTATATTGAGGAGATTACAGATTACAGAGGAGTATGAGAAGTATTTATAGTACTTCTCCATGTGGGTCTAAACCTAATCCAATCAGTGCACTGGTAGCAATGTCATATCTGAGTATCAGTGCAGTGGTACAAATACCAGTAAAGTGGTAATTAATGTGGTGTATTTAATGCTTACTTTGTATTTAATAACAGAACATTTATTATGTTTACTTTCATTAATACTTATCAATAATTAATGAAAAATTGACCAATTAAAAGGGGGGTGTCAAAAAACCAACCCCTTAAGGGGTTAGCATGCTAACTCGTCCCTCGGACCCTCCATATATACTAGCGTGGGCTCCCGGCCATTTGGCCGGAGGAAAGTGAGGTATGAAATTTGATAATATAATAAGGTGTATAGCTTATTATTATATAGTTTTTTTTTTTGAAAACACGTTATAAAAGTAGTGAATTTTGTTAGAAAGAGACATGAATGATGCAACGAATAAAAATCAGCCTTATGAACCAAAATCAAGTACCCGTTACCTTGTGAAACAATATTGTTTCTGGTAATATGATGAGGTGGAGTAAGTTTTATAGAAACCGAATTTCAGAAAATCGAATAAAAATCCCCTATCCCGCCGGTTTTCGGGAAATGAGCATCTCGCAATCGTTGCTAGCTTTTACTCGGCCCGTTGGCCGATTAATTTGCTTACAAAACTTTCATCTTGTCATCATTGTGCTTTCTGGTTTTTTGCGAATCCATGATAAAATCTAAAGAAATCAAGAATGAACAACACGATTTAGGATAGAAACCACCGTTCCTGTATCCCTAGAAAATGGTGGTAAACATGGACTCACCTACCAATCTGGTTTGGATTGATATTTTTATCGGGTATCAGGGAACCATGTTATTATAAATTAGACTTGATCAAAACTTGAAATTCAACATGTTTGACCGACCCATGCCAAACTCTAATTATTCTTTACTTTTAAACTTCTATTTGAAAATAAAAAATAATGAAAGAAAATATATGACTGCAATTCGCCATTTGTACATCACTGATTCGGGAATAAAACTATAGAATTTCGAAAGGAAAATGAAAATGTTTAGGATCGTTTTAATGTTAAAAATAACCAAATAGATCTTTCTGTTTAGTTTTTTACTAACAAATACCAAACGATTCCCTATAATATACACTATAATTTAATCATTATGATATCAAATAATTTCATAATATATATTTGAAATGATAAAAATTGGACTAATTGGGTTGGTCAAAGTTGAACCATTGAATAACTTTAAATACATTATATTTTAGCCACTAAGATATAAAATAATAGCATAATATATATTATGCTAGAGAAAATAGCTTGTTTTAGAATGACAAACCCATGATGTTCATTTGTTTTACTTGATGGGCAAATCTCGTGTAGGTCAGGCCCATTCAACTCTTTTATTTTATGATTAGCAGTTAGCCCATTAGAATCCATGAATTAGTTAATTGTTAATTTTTTTTTTCTTTTTAGCAATAAAAAGGAGTATCGTTTTTGCCTTTTTATATATATTTTACCACCACGGAGAAATAAAAGGACTTAAAGAAAAAAATTGAAACTCCTAGACCCGTTTAAATCCGCATGTGTACGGTAAGTTGGCCCGTTCCACAGAGGAAAAAGAAAAAAATTGACACTCCCTATTCTACCCTTCCTACAAACGCTCATGGAGAAGGGAATTTGAAATGGGGGAAGTGTTTTTCCTCTCTGCGATTATATGTTTTTAATTTAAAAAGGGCTTAATTGCAAGTTTGGTCACTTGAATTGCTATAAAATTTCACGTTTGCCACTCAAATTAATTTATTCCATTTATAGTCACTCGAATTAGTTGAACAGTTCAAGTTCGGTCACTCTCCGTTAACCTCCGTTAACTTTGACTGACGTGGCGGTCAACTCTGACAGTTGACCGTTAAATGTGTGACGTGGCAAATAAAAAATAATTAAAAAATAAAAATTAAATTTTTAGAAATTACACATCATTATCACAAAAAATTATAATTATAAAAAATGAGAAAAAAGGAATTAAAGGAGTTGTCCATCAGCAGAGCATTCTCCAGCCTCGCAATCACCGCCTCCCCTTCCCCGCACTTGTCCATGAGCAGCGCATTCTCGAAAAGAGCCTCGAACGACAAAGGATTCACAGCGAGAATTTCCTCGAACACCTTGGGGGCATTCTAGGACTGACCCATCTCGTTGTACAACCTCGCCATCAGGAACTTCCACTCCACCGCGGCGGGCTGGGCGGCAACGAGGCGGGTCAGGATCTTGAGCGCCTCCTCGTCTTCCCGGCTCTCGAGCTTCTGCTGCAGCAGGGACTTCAGAGACTCGACAGCTTCGGTGTTATCCACGAGAAATTCGGACAAAGGAGAGGCGAAGTAGGAAGAAGACGAGGACGAAGAAGAGTCCTCATCCTTCAGCTCCACGGCAGCTGGGTTCTTTGGCTCCAGTTGCTCTTCGATGGTGGCCGGGGTTTCTTCAGCTAGAGTAGCTTCAGCTGCTGCAGGGGGTTCGGCTTTGGCAGGGTGGAGAACGGAGAAATGGGCGGCGGCGGAAGCAGAGGCGGCGATCAAGACGGCGGTTTTGGCCAGGGTTTTGAGGCGCTGGATGATTAAGGGTGGGTATGGGTTTGGTAGGCATGCTGTAATGGTGGGAATGGAAGAAGGTTGCGGGTGGGCGAGCCTGGTGGAATTGAGACGATGGGGGAGTTGGGAAGTTGAATTGAAGGAGGAGAAGGGGGAGGAAGAAGAAGGTACTTTGAAATTGAGCAAGGAAATGGTGAGCGTTGAGTTCATTGTCGGAGGATCAATGGCGATCCTTTCCTTCCTTGTTCGTAGGTCAGCCTTTTTCTTCCAATGGGTAATGGAAGAGGGAGAGGAAGGAGACGAGTTCGATGGTTGTTAGGGTTTATAGTAACAGAGAAGCAGAGTGACGATGTAGAGTGTAGACGACAAAATGGTCAAGCCGGACCAGCAAATTTTATTTTTTTTAAATACCATTGAAGAATACGATATTTTTATTGATAACTTTTTTGTAGATCTTCTACAAAAAATAACATCAATTGCAATTTATGGAATCTCATAAGAATGTGGATTCATACAAGTAGTGGATTCTTAAATTCGAGGTTGTAAAAATCATATATTCAAGACAGAAGCGACTGGGTGGTCGAGATTCATTTTTAGAAATTACACATTCATTTTTTATAATTATAAATTTTTGTGATAATGATGTGTAATTTCTAAAAATTTAATTTTTAATTTTTAATTATTTTTTATTTGCCACGTCACACATTTAACGGTCAACTGTCAGAGTTGACCGCCACGTCAGTCAAAGTTAACGGAGGTTAACGGAGAGTGACCGAACTTGAACTGTTCAACTAATTCGAGTGACTATAAATGGAATAAATTAATTTAAGTGGCAAACGTGAAATTTTATAGCAATTCGAGTGACCAAACTTGCAATTAAGCCATTTAAAAGATACACCAAATATACTTAGTGTGATTAGTTATGATCTTTGCTTTTCTTTAAAGTGGTCATGGTTCGAATCCTAGTAAGTGTCTTTTTAATGAATAAAAAAAAAGTAATTGTTAAGACCAAAACGTCCTTCCTACTTTCACTCTAGATGCAGGAAATTTGAAATCGAGTTTCAAATTTTCTCATTTGGCTTTTATTTATTGTGTAGAGTGGTACTTTAAAAAGAAATAGGATCTAGTATAAAACTCATTTGTAGTACTACAAAATCATATCCAGTGATTGTAATTTGAGAGAAGAAGAGATCTAATGGTCTATCAAATAAAGAGGTACGGATGAAAATAAGGGATTTATGGGAGAGCTGGCCAGATTTTTTGCTCAGTTGAGCAGATTCTTTTTTTTTTTTTTTTTTTTTTTTTTTGTTTTGCGCTTGGGCGAATTTCCCAAGCTTGATGTTAAAGCACTTTTCCAATTTCTTTTGAAAATTCAACGGTCAATAGCTCATTAGTTTATATCGGATTTCAAAACTTTAACATAGAAATAACATATTTTTATGCTGTAGAAGATGATATACATTTGGATATTTTTTGGATATAATATATTTATGTCATCTTATCGTTGCCATATCATGATATTATCATTGACAGTAGTATGGTGATGTTATTAATTTTACCATAGTGGAAAGTTCATGATATGACTAGTGTGATCGGTATGTGAAGTCTTACCATCATGGTATGACGTTGATATGATATTGATATGGTGTTAGTAAGATAGTGATATGGTGTTGCATGAGGTCTTATGTTTGACAAAATTATTTGATTACAACATATATTTAATATAGTATAGTGTTTTTTTTTATAATGGTGAGAGAAATATTATTAATAAAAGGGTTAGGGTTTATGGTTTAAGGTTTTAATGTTAATCATGATATGATAGCGATACAATGTGTAGTTTGTTTTACCATAATAGTAGGATCATAATATGATAATGGTAAAACTACAAAGAACACATGGTTTTGGAAGACTTTTTTTTTACTCAAAATATAACAAAAAGGATATTATTGTGTAAAGTCTTTTACCAAATCTTTTCCTCCTAAAAAGGGTAAAGGGAGTTATTTTTACAACAAAAAAAGATAGAACAGTTAGGGAAATTTGAGGTTTTATGATTCATGATTTAATTATATATATTTTTTTGGCATACTTTTATTATTAAATTAAATGATAAAACATATCCTTCCTACAGTTATTCGAAAAGTTGAAAATGAGGAATGAAGTATGTTTTCATAGAGAACTATCTACACATTGATGATAATAACCCAGAATAGGTAAGCTTAACAAAGTTTCAGTGATTCTATTTATTTGAAAATTTGATAAAAACAACTCTCAATACACCTTGTAAAATGAAAAGATGACACAGATCATATTATATATTATATAGATCGTAATTAATGCATTCTTATATGCAAAAAATTTAATATTCAAGTTAAAACGAAAAATGACCCTATTAAGAAAAAATAGAGATTAGAAAAAATAACAATTGATTGGTCAAAAGTTTTCCTCTCTCATTTGAATTTCAATTTCGTGTAAGGAAAAAAGACTGAGAGGTGGAAACTATCAGATTGCCCTCCTTGTATCTTAATAAATTTTGAACTATTAGATGTGATTAACATGTAAGGTTAGATATAAGTATTTGTAGTATACGGTTTGTACCCTATCATTTCCCCTTAAAATGGAGAAACAACTTCTTTTTACGCAAATAAAAAGAGATTAATAGAAAAGTAAGGCAATTTGAGGTTTCATGATTCATCAGGAAATTATTTATTTTGTTGGATATATTTCCTTATTACTAATTTAAACGAGAAGAATATCCTTTCTAAAATTACTCAGAAAGTTGGAAATGATGAGTGAAGTATGTTTTGATTTCAAACCTCTATACATTGATGATATAAACCTACAATACGTAAGCTTAATAAAGTTTCAATGCTTCTGTTTATTTGAAAATTAAATAAAAACAACTCTCAATACTCGTTGTAAATGAAAAGATGACACAGACTATATTTATAAGGGAAATGCATTCAATATTCATGAGCAATCACAAACATGTGTGCCTACTTAAACAATCACACGAGTAGGATTAGAAATGCGCATTTAATTTATACTTGCACTAAGACAAAGATGCAAGCAGGGGAAACTGGAAACCCATAAGAATAGTCTTAGCTAGGTACTCGTAACTTAGTGAGTTCGAACACTAATTGAGAATTGTATCACCATAAAATTTTGGGACACTTTTTCATTATCTATTATTATCATTACTAGGTTGGAAGCCCGCACTTCGCGACGGGAGGTAGAAGTTAGAATCATCAGTAATGGGGCAGAGATAGAAACCATATACACTTCCAGATGAGTTTGTATTTATTTGTTGGAAGGGTACATTTTGGCATATAGAAAAATTTAAAATAATGAAAAGATGTATATTAATAAAATATATAAGTACAAAGATGCAAGTTAAGAACGCAATACTGAGTTTCACAAACTGATTTATATCAACATTGGTTGTCGACCAAAAACTGGAATTGGGTTCAATTGTCACTAAAGGAATTTTGGGTTCAATTGTCACTAAGCACCCCACCCAACTAGTCAATTACAAAAGTGAGTAAAGAGAATTAATTAACGACCCAACCCGACACATGTGAAACTCTTTCTCGACCCAAAATTCGTTAACACCGAGTTCAACTCACTCTAACCCGGTCGAATACCCGTGTAAAACTCATTGCCGACCAAAAAATCCTCAACATTCGATTGTAGGCCAAAAAATCATCAACATCGATTGTAGGAGAAAAATTCATCAACATCGTTTTCAAATCTCCGTAGTTGAGACAAAAAAAATCATCAACATCAGTTCGCGACCAAAAATTGGATTTGGGTTCAATTGTCGATAAAAAAAAATTTGCGTTCAATTGTCACTACGACCCAACCTGTCATTTACAAAAGTGAGTAAATAGAATCAGGTAACAACCCACCCGACACATGTGAAACTCTTTCTCGAGCCAAAATTCGTTAACACTGAGTTCAACTCATTCTAACCCAGACGAGTACTCGTGTAAAGCTCATTGTTGGCCAAAATTTCGTTAACATTCGGTTGTCCGCCAAAATTTCGTCAACATCGTTTGCCGGAAAAATATTCGTTAACATCGAGTTCAAATCGCATTAGTCGGGACGTAAAAATTCATCAACATCGGTTGTCACCCAAAAATTGGATTTGGGTTCAATTCTCACTAAAGGAAAGAAATATGCACCCGACCCAACCCGTCAATTACAAAAGTGAGTAAATAGAATTAGGTAACGACCCAACCCGACACATGTGAAAATATTTCTCGACCCAAAATTCGTTAACACCAAGTTCAACTCAATCTAACTCGGCTTAATACCCGTGTAAAGCTCATTGTCGACCAAAACCCAAAATTCGTCAACATTGGTTGTCAACCAAAAAATCATCAAAATCGTGTTCAAATCGCTTTAGTCGGGACGACATTAGGTTGAATACTCATTGATTTAAGCATATAAACCTCGTTGTCAAACCAAAATTCATCAACACCAGGTTTAACTCGCTTAAATCAGATTGAAGTAGGCTGAATATATTGATTTAGGCTCGTGTGTTATAAGTTAATTAATTAGAACCTTAGGTCGAATATCTATTGATTTAAGCGTGCTAGCAAAAATTGGTCAACACCGGGTTGAACGCGCTTTAACCGAGTCGACATTAGGTCAAATATCCATTGATTTAATCGTGTAAAACTCATTGTTGAGCCAAAATACGCCAACACGTGTTCAACTTGCTTTAACCGGGTCGAATTAGGTCAAATATTAAAATAGATTTTGGTTCAATTGATTTTGATTCAATTTGGGTACTATTGTCATAAGTTAATTCAATTTGGGTTCAATTGTCATAAGGTAATTAAATAGAATCTTAATGGCACAAAAACTCCTCCAAGTTTTGGTTAATTACAAAAAAATCACTCCCTATGATGGGACACTATGCAATAGTAACTTCTTAAAGTGAGTAAAGAGAACTAAGTAACGACCCAACCCGACACATGCAAAAATCTTTCTCGACCCATAATCCGTTAACACCAAGCTCAACTCACTCTAACTCGGTCGAATACCCGTGTAAAGCTCATTGTCGGCCAAAACCCAAAATTTATCAACATTGGTTGTCGGCCAAAAATTCATCAAAATTGTGTTCAAATCGCTTTAGTTGGGACGATATTAGGTCGAATACCCATTGATTTAAGCATGTAAACCTCGTTGTCAAACCAAAATTCATCAACACCGAGTTCAAATTGCTTAAATCGGATTGAAGTAGGCCGAATACATTGATTTGGGCTCATGTGTGATAAGTTAATTAATT